CCGATCCCCCGGTCTGTGGCTCCGCGGCTGGAGGTTGTAGTTACCCAGCCGGGGTCTAAGGGAAGCTTGCCGATCTGCTTTACATTTAAGCCTCAGCCTGGTTTGGAAGGCGATCTATGGAGATTCAGTCTCGGATCGGCTTCCCCCTACAGCCCCTGTTGTATGCGAGGTAGCTGGTTACCAGAGCACAAAGGCAAAAATAAAAGACACGGGGGGGGGGGTTACTTAATTATCCAGGCTGAATAAGGGGCCCAATCCTGGATTCCCTGGTGGGGCAAGGGGGAAGGATCAGGTTACAAGGGGGACAAGATACCGCAGGCTGAGCCACGCTAGATCAATATATTACTGATATATTATATCAGTATAATTTATCTCCTCTGACAGCCGGGTTGGGGGCTCACAGAGACCTGCAGAAAGCACTCCCTGCAGGGCAACAAGCCGCGATCTACCCGGCAGCATCCTCAGACTGAGCCTAAACAGATGCCTACCGCCTTGCGTGGGGTCCCCCTAGCAGTATTTTCTAAGAGGTGTAAGTGTGTCGTGGCCCCGCATGGAGTTAATCATCACCCCGAGCGCCAGAGCCCGAGGCGCCTGGAACGTCTAGAAACAGAAGGTTCGGCAGCGACACGTCACAAAGGGATGTTTCCCTTATTGTTCCTCCTCGCTGGAGCAGCCCCTCCAGCCCCTCACCTCGCGGGCACATGGACTGCAGGTTGCTCTGCAAATGTAAATGCCCTCACTTTAGAAAAGGAAAGGAAAGGAAAGGAAAGGAAATGTCAGGCTGCAAAGCCAGGGGCCGGGCAGGGAGGGAACCGGCCCGGAAGGCCTGGGGAATTTAATTGATGTGCTTAATCTGGTGCCTTGCCTTTCTCTAGAAATGCAGAATGTAGCAGCGCACGGATTAAACCCCGGGACTCTTCCCTGCTCGGCTAATTTGGCCCCAGCACAGAGAAGCTGGATCCGGGTGCAATCGGACACGCAGATTCGGGAGACCAGCTCTTGGCCCTGGATGGACCCCCTGGGGTCCCTATGGCTGGGAATCAGGACAGATCCCGCTAGCATCCAGCTCCCCCGGCAGACGCGCTGGCGGCGACGGAGCACAGAGCAGGCGCTGTTCTGGTCCATCTCAGCCGCAGCTGGACCGGCCGAGGTGGCTGCCTTCACGGAGCACATTTCTGGAGCGCTGTTGCCTAACGAAAGCCCAGCCGCCCATCGCGTGGGCCCCACGGCGCCCTGCCCAGACCGTCCCTTACTGCAGAGCTCAGCCCTTCTCTCCCCACTTGCTCTCCCTCCAGCCCGGCGCACACACGGGCTGCCCCGAGAAGAGGCTCCCCAGCGAGCAGAAGCCCCGGCTGGGTGGGTTGAAAATATTTCGGTCGTTTCAGCCCAGGTACCTGCTCACGGAGGTGGGGCCTGCCGATCGGAGCCGGGCTGACTCCAACCCGCCCCCCACGGGCCTGGGGATGGTACGGAGCCCTCCTGCCAACCACAGATGCCCCCATGCTAGGCAAGGAGCCGGGGTGGGGGGACTCTGGGAGCCGGGAGATGCCCGCAGCTCTGCCCACGCCCTCCAGCCATTCCCCCTCTTTTCTCTCCGTCTCATTTGCAGCGTTGAAACGCTCGACAGATCCATTCAGTCCCGGTTGGAAGAGGCAGCGCAGGGAGATTTGAGAGCACTGAGCAGTTAATATGCCCCAGACTGAACGTAAAGATAAACGAACCCCCTGGCCCCTCTCGGTGACAGACACGAGACATTTCACTTGATCCTTATAGATGCAAGATGACATGAGCTGGAGGGAGGTTTTCCCAGAGCCAAGCTGGGTTAAGGGAAGTCACCTTCCCTCCCAAGGAGGCTACCCAGTGCCACTGCTTATTTGTTCAATTAAACACTCCTCGGGCGCCTCTGCCTTAGTACCATTAAAAACACTTCAACCAAAAAACACTGTTAACATTATTTGATGGGGTCATTTACCACTGGGGTATGTATTAGGCAGTGTCCCCCCCCGCCCATCTCCCTCCCAAACTCTCCCAGGTTTCGAGGATTCGGACCTCGCACTACAGTAATCAGACAGGTTTACACATCAGTGGCATCAGTAAACTGAAGGACATAAGCGGCAGCTGGGCTTGGTAGAAGGCAACCCAGCGTCTCAGCCCCGGGGCCCCTGCAGTAGCTCGAAGAGCACCCGGAGGAGCCTGACTGCAGGCGGGGAGCAGCGGCGCACATTCGTACCCGCCGCCCGGCAGCCCTCTCACAGCCAGTCGGGCGATTGCTCCGAGAGTTCAGGACGCCAGGACTCATTTCCCTTCTATTTACTTGTCATAAGCAATACTTTCTTGCTCCAGTGGCAACGTCGCACGCCACTATATTTAAAAAAAAAAGTCGGGCGAATATTTTTTTCACTTCTCTGGGACAGCGGAGTGTACAATCTCCACCTTCCCTTCAATAATTGGCTCACTGGGAAAAGAAAAAAGGATTCCCCCCTTAGATCGTGGGCATCTCAATGTGATGATAGTGGGCAACTCAAGTGACTGCGCTCATGTCAGTGCTTTTACGAGGGTTAGTTTAATATATGTGTAAATCTATACATATTTTTAATTACAGCTCCAGTGCACCATCGCTTATTTTTAGAGGAGAATTGAAGGGCTGCTTTGAAATCCACGCTAAACGCTGTTTTTAATAACAACTCGATATGCCTGTAAATAAAATGTTCCTTTGGCAGCAAAGAAGAAAAGGAGAATTAATCTGAGCAGCTGAATATGTGTGTGTGTGTGTGTGTGTGTGTGTGTTGATATATATATATTATGTATCTATATATGTTTGCATATATATAATATGTATATATAATACGTGTATGTATATGCGTGTGTTATTTATATTATATAATATATCACAATATATTATAATATACATTATGCATTAGATTAAAATACACAATATAATGTACAATATATCACAATATACAGTATACCTTATGCATTAGATACGATATACATTATATATTATTTGGTGTATATCGTATCTAATGCATAATGTATACTAGATATTATGTGAGACATTATATTGTGCATAACAATATCAAGTATACATTATAAGATATATATAACATATCACATATTTATATTCTGTGTTAGATACATATACACAATATATCACATATAATACACACTATGCGTTAGATAAGATGTACACAGTATACCACATAATATATATACATTATGCATTAGATCAGATGTACACAACATATCACATATATATATTATATATATATTCATTAGATAAGATATATACAATATAACAAATAGAATGTATTAGATAAGAGGTACACAATATAATACATAACATATCACATTGTGTGCTATAATATATATTATGTATTAGTTAAGATGGGCACAATACATTACATCACATTTTATAGATGCTGTATGAATATATATATATTACATAGACTTGTCCGATGTTACATTTTTTAAGTTCAAATGCTATCCCGGGGAACCGTCAGTCCCTGCTTTCCCAATGCAAATGTCACTTGTAGCTTGGAGAGCAGCGGGAGCTGGAGCTTGAAATCCGGTCCGCGCTGGAGATGCCCCGTGCGCGGCGGAGCTGGCGGAGACGCGGCCCTTCTCGCAGCGCTGCTGAAAGCAGGTCCCGGGCCCGCGCTGCCGGGAGTCGGCCAGGCTCAGCTCTGCGGCAAGGCGCGGGTCAGTTCCCGGCTCGGGGGCAAACTTTGCAAACTGGGGGGGGAGCCACCTCTGCTCCTGGGCAAGGGCAGGGTGGGGGCCACACTGATTAACTTTCGTTGCATATAAACCCGTGGGCCCAGCCGGTGTGATACAATGGGGGGGGAATAAATGGGCATGATCCCGTTTCGAGCTCCTGCCAGCCCCACCCCGGGCCTCCCCCCGACGCCGGGTGCCCGGCCCTGGTGGTCGCGGTGGAAGGGGCAGGGCCGGCTCGCGGGGGCCCGA